GACACAACAAGATTACTCAAAGCCAAACGCTACCTCTGTGTAAAGTTTTTTAAGGGTTCGAGCTTTGGCCGTCAGAGTCCTCAACGGCCGAACGAGCATGCTTGGAAATACACATACGAAAGCTGTTCAAAGAGAGACAGAGACACAAGCCACTGAAACCCAACCCCACACTACTTTGGAGTTGTCAAAGTCAATATAATAGATCGAACTGGGACAACCTTTGATCCGACACTATTTCACTCAGAGCCAAGCCCAGATCTTATCTTGCATGCATCTTGCATATCTCGTCGTTCAGCTACCAGAAAAGACTAGCTGTTGGCAACAAGGCAGGTGCCGATACTCTTTCACATCTCATCATCCGCCTTCCCCATATCCAGCGGTGTGCCAGAGCTTGCTAAAGATAGACAAACTTGCAGTACCGTAACCAAACATTTCTTGTTTCCCAACGGTCTCTCTCAGGGCCAGTTAGAGCATCATGGTACGTACATGATGCATATGCACCCCGCGCTTTTTTATTTATTTGATTCCTCCTTACAGTGGTATGCATGATGTATTTTGAAATGGAGCTCTTCCCCGTGGGATGTTGCCATCGCTTGTAGTCTATTGCAGAATCAAATCCGGTAGTTGAGTTTTTTTCTTTCTTACTTTTCGTTTTGTACAACAAGCGTATATGCAAGTGATCTATCTCAAACGTTGAATTCGTGAAGCTAATGCAGACGCATCTGCTATGTGGAGGATGCAACGCCAACTTGAAGCCCATATGTGATGATACCTGTACCTGGGTTATCAATGAAAAGAACCCGATGTCGGGGAAATAAAAACAACGTAGTCATGTGACCGCAAACCTGATGTATCAAGAACGTGCATCCAAGCGAGCTACCAGCTTATTATTGAGGTGATGATTTTGTCTTTGGTTCGAAGCGAGGGGTATATCAGAGCTGTGATATAGGTAGCCCTCATGGGGTGAAGGCTGGGGTGGAATGTAACCTTGTCTCCCAAAACCTCAACTTCAAGGCCAAGAACTTGAAAGGAACGCGCCTCTTTTTCTTAATTTTTTTTAGATTTTTTTTACACACGATGGGGTTTGATTCCCGAACCCGAGGAAAATAGTCTTGATTGAGGCTTGGTCCGGAGAGGGCCCTTGGGATTATAGTGGTAGCTGTTATCATATGAAAGGAATGTTATGGTCATCATGGGACCTAAGAGAGAAGGGATCCACTCCCTGCCACGCGAGCTTCCGTTGCCGAGATAGGGCATTGACGTTTTGGACATGGGGTTGGGAACAGATAGAAGCTGGAGATGGAATGTTGATAGAAGATGATGTGCCGAGGGAGTGGGCGTGTCAGATTGTGAATGGAGTCTTTGATGTCGTTATCGACTACCTCAGGGTCGGCAGATGTGAATGTGGATAAATAGGTATGGATATAACACGAGACCAGCCAGCCTCTGAAACCGATATAGCTCGAACCGAGGGTCCTAAGTAGGAAGTTGTGATAGTATCATCTTCATAGATAGCAGATAGAATGACGAATAAGCCACCCAAACAGACGGCAGTTAGTGATCATCACCACCGGCGTTCCCAACGTCCACATGAACCTCGTGTCGAACCATGCACCCCACGTGTTGTTTCACACCTCCGAGCGTGCACTGCGGATGTTCTTCTTCTTCTTCTTCTTCTAGCTGACCGTTTATGTTTCCACACTCCCCGATGTCGATGCTACCAAACGACGACTGACAACCTTAGACGGGCAGATCCCGAAACGGGTATGCTCATCATTCACCACACCCTCCGGCACCACTTTCATGTTCGCCTAAGCGATGATGGCTGTCGGTAGTGTCAACGGGCATGCCTCCCCTAAATAGGAAGCCGGCTCATAGACAGGATGCAAACTCAACAAAAACATTGAATCTTGAAACAAGAGATACAGGTGTGGTGTTGCTCTCTCCGATATTTTCTCCGCCGTGATCCGGTTGGAGGAAGGGGGAAAAACGTGGCTTTCTCGGACAGATAAAAGCTTTCGGACTCGGGAAAATAACTTAGCTGCAGTAAAGGTCGGGTGTATTTTTGGTCTGGTGATCAAAAAACTGACGATTTGGCTTGTGATTCGGGTTTCGACTTTGGAGGCTGGGTGAGTTGTTAGAGGGGGGTGGATGGATCCGGCTCGCTCCTGATGCCGATGATCGCTTATGAGTGATGATGTATGAGGTGGGAGGGGTGTGAAGAGGGTCCCGGAAGTATTTTTATCCTTTTTCGGGATTTCTTATCATACTCTGGAGACCATGTGCCTCAATGTGTTGGGACCTTCAGATGACCCCTGAAATGGTATTGACAACTGTGTCTTATACTGCTGGGGACTGATTATATGAACAGGAGGTTTACCAACACGTCAACCATACGGGTCGATCAAACTGAGCCATTCTTCTGGTACACTGTAACCTCTGCGGTTGATGACCTTACCTAGGTAGAGAAAATTGATAGTTAAATGCTGTTGTACTATCGGTAGGGATGCTGATGTGGCTGCTACTGCAACAGTTACATGGACTTACGGCATTATGCACAGAAGAAGAGGCACAGCACACCGCCTCCTTGGTCTTTGTGACTCTCACCTCGCGTCACCTTGGTCACCGTCACCTCGGATTTGTGTTGCCATCACGAGTACAGCGGATGACTTGAGACTTGTGCGGTAGAGAGATGGTGATTACGCAAAAGTACCCAAGACAATTCAAGCTTCATGAAAGGTACTCTGTATTTGAGCCGTTAGCGTTGGTGTAAGCTGGAAAGACTTCGAGGCTTATCTCGATCATGTTCAGGAAAGAGTTGCGGTACGGCAGAAATTAGCTATCTTGGTATAGGGCTCAAAAGTAAAGACTTTCTGCCTATGTGATTTAAGTAAGTTTGAAGAAAAGATCCCGAAGTCAAAGGACAGGAATTGAACACCAACAGGTAAACATAGCGTAGTTAATGTTGCTGCCAGTTGCCAAAAGACTCAGCAAAACAATCTCGTCTAATACCACAAAACAACAAGAGCTCCTAAACGCCGAGCAAGGCAGTTGCCTATAGTATGAGCCACTATCTAGATATTGGCGTCCACTGAGATAAGCGTTTCTACTCAAAAGACTCCATCACGCTCTCTAATCGGAGAAGAAGCAGCACCGAAATAGGTCAGAGGGAGTGCCCCAAGCTACCTATAAGCCAGATCGACACAAGGTCATTGAAACAAGCATTACTGCTAAGAAGGTACAAACAACTTCGAACATGAAGACAAGTAATCTATTGCTTTCCACAATCGACGCATACAAGCTCTGCGAGACCAGTCTGCGCCCACCTTACACTACAGCTCAGAAGCATGAGCCAGGTTGGCATCGTCAACCTGGCTGCTACACCCTACCCTACCTTAGGCACCCAATAATAGTGATACCAATTCTCCCATGGATACTTCGTACATAGGTATATATCCCGCACTCCAAAAGATACCTACACAACTCGAGTCATCTAACAAGAAGACATCTAAACCAAGACTTCGGCTCTTGATTCCACACAAGATGCTTGACCAAGCTACCTATCCAAAACACATCAGCCAGTCTCTTTCTGTCCTGTTAATTCGCTTTCTGTCTACCACTTCCCATTAAGGCACAGTTTATCTTTTCCCACCCCCCCACTTTTTTTATCTCCAGGATATCCCTATAAACACCCGCCCCACTCAACACCATCCAACCGCCAAACACAACCAAACCTACTTATCCACCACCGCCGCTCTCACTCAACCCTTCCACCACCATCCCTGATATAAACACGCCCGACTTCTCACTCCTTCTGTCATCAAAACAAGCGATAGGCAGTTGACCCTCCAACCAAAAGATAGACTTCAGTCCTATGTTAAACAACCGCTAAACCTGCCCAAGGGGGATTCAACGTCCCAATTTCCTAACCAGAGCCAGCCACAGCATTCTCTTTGCCCCCTTTACCCGCCCCCCCCCCTCCCAACCCAAAACAAAACGGGAAATTGTCTGCAAAAGAGCAAGAAAAACAGATGAGAGACCCCAAAAAAAGAGAAAAATAAAAGAGAGCATTTGTGAAACAACAGCAAAAGCTATGCATCAGCCGTGAATCGAACACGGGGCCCATCGATGGCAACGATGGATTTTACCACTAAACCACTGATGCTGTTGGGTGGTTTGTTTAAAAATCTCTTTGGACCATACCTACAGGTAGTACGTTATTCCTGTCAAATCACTTCCACCCCCCCTACAACATCACCAGACCACCACCTCCCCTTAGCAACCCCCTAGATTTCTAAACTCACCCTATTTGCATCAGAGACAAAAAACCTCTTTATATAACTTCTCTATCCTTCTAACCCTCAAACCCCAGGATACCTAGCAATCTGCCCCGAAATCTGCTCCACAAACCACTCCTCCGGGCTCTCGCTCAGCTTCGCCGTCTCCAAGCTCGTCAGCACCGTCTTGATCCCCACATTCACCTCCCTGCTCCCCGTCGCCCGCTCAATCTCCTGCACGATCCGCCCGTGCCTCCCATCGAACGCGCCCACCTGCCCCAGCACCGCCTCCAGCTCGCCCAGGTCCGAGATCGCCGGCACGGGAATCTGGTTGTCAAACGCCGTCGTGACGTCGAGCTGCTCCAGCACCGATCTCTGCGACGTGGTGGCGAGGATGAGCAGCCTGTGCCCCTTGGGCGGTGGGGTTTGAAGAAGCGTGACGAGCGTGTTGAGGATGGAGCCAGAGAAGCGCGCGCCGACGGGGACCCAGTCGATGAGACGCTCAATATTGTCTGAGAAATGTCAGTGACCTTGTCTGATTGCGTTAAAAGGGACGGGGCTTACCAATAACGAGTAAACTCAACGGGGACTTGTAAGCATCCGTAAACAACTTATGCAAATAATCCTTCTTCGCCAGCTCATCCCTATAACCCACCAGCGACGCCGGGGTGATAAGCTTGATAAAAGGGAAATCCGACAGCTGCGCAATCTTCGCCGCGAGCGCCGTCTTGCCGCTCGACCTCGGCCCATGAAGCAAAACACTCATCACCCTCAGGTTCGGCTGCTCCTTCACAGTCTTGACATAGAGCATGCCGTCCTTGAGAATATGGCTAATCCCCCTCGAGTACTCAATGATCCCAAACGGCAACACGTCCTCCAGCTCCGAATCATCAGTACCAAACGCGGGCTTGACCTCGTCCAGCGCGTGCAAGAAATCCTGCATGCCAACCTTCATGTTCACCACATCCTCACTGACACTAGCCGTAGTGCCGGCCTTGATGTTCCTCGCAAAAGCAAACGACGTCGCAGACTTGACCAAACCGCTCAGCTCAGCACCCGAAAAGTTCTTCGTCCTTGCCGCCAGCTCCAGAATATCAACATCACTCCCCATGACATTATTCTCCTTCATCTTGCTCGTGTGGATCTTGAGAATCTGCGACCGGCCAAACTCATCCGGCAGGGAAATCTCAATCTGCACCTCCAAACGACCAGGCCGCAGCAACGCGTCATCAATCATGTCCTTCCTGTTGGTCATTCCGATCAACAGGATATTGTTAAGCTGGTCCACACCGTCGAGCTTGGAAAGCAGCTGGTTGACAACACTGTCACCAACACCAGTGCCGCCACCGGCACCAGACCCTCTCTGCTTGCAGACAGCGTCCAACTCGTCAAAGATGATGATATGAAGCCCAGACTCGTCTCCCTTTTCCTTGTATTCCTTTTCGGCATCGGCAAACATCTTGCGAATGTTTTCCTCACTCTGGCCAACGTACTTATTCAGCACTTCGGGACCGTTGATGATCTTTGGTTCCCTGGCATTAAGCATCTTGCCAATTTGCCTGGCAATAAGCGTCTTGCCTGTACCCGGAGGACCGTAAAGAAGCATACCCTTGACGTGCATAATCCCCAGCTTCTCGATCAAACCCGGTGGGAAAATGCGCGAAGCAAAAGCTCTTCTGAAAATGGTCGAGAACTCGGCATCCAAACCGCCGATACCCATATCCTCAAACTTGAAATCAGGGCTGATAATAGCATTAGCAGCAGGCCTCTTGTTGGACGCCTTGAGCTTCAGAGGCGAGCTCGCATCCTTGTAGAACCCAATGCTGGTATGCTTGTGCAGGATACCCCTGGCGCGCGGGTCTGACAACGTGGGCGGCTCCTCGCCATTTTGCGATTGCATGCTCAAGTCCGTCAAGGTGACCGTCTTGACCGTGATAGCCAGGGGCACATTCTTGACGTCCATCAGCAGCTTCTGGCCTGGCGCGAAGAGCTGGTTTTGAAACTGGGCGATAAACTGCTCGGCGAGCTCGTCTTGATCGTATGGTGCGTCGACAACCTTTCTCAGCGACGCAAACCCAATTTCGACGTCTATAGAGCCGAGATAGGTCTGCGCGCTCCTCGCAAAGGGGTCGTAGACTTCGCCCTCGAGCGAGTCCATCAGACCAACGCCGCACCATGTTCTTTGAGGGTCGGACAAGCTGATGCAGCCATCGGGGAAGCCGGGAACTGGGCGCGCTGTGACGACAAAGTCGCCTCCGCCTTTCATCTGGGGGCCGGTGAGGCGGATGTAGACATCGGTGTTTTCGCGGTTGGGTGGGAAGTCTCGGGGGGAGACGGCGCAGCTGTGTTGCTGTCAGTTTGTTGTCCACGATGGGCAAGAGACGGGGTGCAAGAGCCTACAGATTGCCAAAGATGTATTGCGACTGGAGGGTCTTGTCCTCGACCTTTGCCAACCTGAGCGGAATACGGCCAGAGCCGGTCTGGCCGTACCCTCCGGCCTGCTGTCGAGAAGGGGGCGCTTGGCCGTATCCTCCTGGCTGCTGGCGAGGTGGTGGCGCCTGGCCATATCCGGCTTGCTGCGGAGAGCCATATCCTCCCTGCTGCTGTGGAGGGTATCCCGCCTGAGGGGGTCGCTGCTGTTGGACGTTGCGGCCGGGGAGACCGCTACCGCTGCCGCCGCCGCGGGGTCCTGAGCCGAAGAGGGCGCTGCGCGGATCCATCTCGCTCGAGTATGTTGGTGGTGTGCTGGTTGGTATAGCGTAACGGGGACTAGGTGTCGGGACGCAGTGCTTTGATATGGTGTGATTTCGAAGAAGAGGACAGTTTGGTATGACGAGTCGCTTTCTTCGTTGCCTGGGGGGAGAGGAGTTGGTGGTAGATTTCGAGGTCAATGTAGCTCCCACGGGTCAGCTCGCCAGCGGGACAGTTGTTGTCGCAGGCCCACAACATAATGAGGCGAAACGGTGTACAAAGGGGGCGTTTTAATGTACGGGCAGCTTGGCGCCCCATGCTGGACCCCACCATTTTGTCTTGGCGGCCAGCCATCAAGGTGCAACGTCCTCACTGATGGCCCTTCTTACAGCCATCACATCTTTATCCAAATAAACATCTTTTACAATGCCTCTCCACCTTCTAGGCAAGAAATCATGGAACGTCTACAACACAGCCAACATCGAGCGCGTCAGGCGCGACGAGGCAGCCGCTCGCCTGAAGGAGGAAGCCGGCGAGCAGCGCATGCAGGAGCAGGATGCTGAGCGCAGGCTGGCCACATTGAGAGGAGAGGTCCCGCCACCGCTTCCTGGACCCGACTCTTCCACAGAAATCAGATCATCAGTCAGGGAGCCACGAGAACCCCGAAAGAAACGCAAACGTCAAGGAGAGGATGACACCGACTTTGAGTTACGCCTCGCAAGAGAACGCCAGGAGCAGCAGTATCAACAGTTCCAATCACTAGCGCCACCCACCACATTGAATACCCCAGATGACTTGGTCGACAGTAAAGGCCATCTCACCCTTTTTACGCCTCAACAAACTCATGCAAAACACCCGGATGTGGAGAAGGAAAAGAAGCAGCAGCTGGCTGAGCAGGCCCAGCTCCGTCTTGGTCCTGGAACTGTGGCTGGGGCAGGTGACGCATGGTATGCCACGCCGGATGACCAAATTTCGTCGGTCGTTCCAAGCAAAAATGTCTTTGGTAAGGACGACCCGAACAGAAAGGCCAGGGAAGCGGCAAGGTTGGTGTCGAGTGACCCGCTTGCCATGATGAAGAGCGGTGCTGCCAAGGTGAGGGAGCTGGAAAAAGAACGAAGGAAGGTAAACGAGGAAAAAGAGAGGGAACTGGGAGAGTTGGAAAAGGCAGAGAGAAGGGAGAGGAGGCATCGACATAGGGATAGGAGCAGCGACAGACGAAGACACAGAGACAGAAACTCAAGCCGGGAAAGAAGGCACAGAGAAAGGAGCAGAAGCAGGGATCGGCATCGCTCTGAAAGAGACTCACGTAGGCGCAGAAGCAGGTCTCCATCTCCCAAGCGCGCCAGACACGAGAAAGGCGGTCACCATTCAGAGAGATCCCACCGCGACAGAAACAGGGAGAGGAAACACACTAGAAGTAGAGATGACACGGAGCGCTGAATTAGACTATGATACCCCAAATACCCAAACCCTGCTCATAATACCCAACCGCAAAATCAATAAACCATTCTATTGCTCCCTCCAAGGCAACTCAACCTTTACCTCGTGCATATCCCTCCTACACAACCCCCCGACCCCACCCTCCATCTTTTCCAACGCTTCCAAAATCTCCTTTTTCAACCCTTCACTCGGCCCCTCTTTCCGATCACTGTACACATCTACCCCTTCAGCCGTGAACAGGGTTTTTTGGAACCAAGTTACAACCCATCGCTCCCCCGTTTCTGGGACCTCTCCGTACCCCAGGATTTCCCAGTGGGAGGTGACAAAGAATAGGAAGCTGGAGCCTCGCCAGTCCCAGCTTGTGAGGGAGTTGGGAACGGAGGCGGTGTCGACGCCGCGGACGTTTTTGAGGGAGGACCCGTCGAGGGGCTCGTACTCGACCAGGTCGGAGATTTTGAGAGGGGAGCCGGGGGTGGGTTGGGGGAGGGGGGAGTAGGTGATTCTGACGTTGCGGGCTTTGCGCCACATGGGGAGGGTGGAGTGGGTTACGGACCAGGTGCGGGAGAGGAAGTCGATGGTTGGGGAGGGGGTGGTGGTGGTGGTGGGTGAGGGGGAGTATTTGGAGGGTTGGTGGAGGGTTATGGGTGACATTTTTGGTGAGTTGGATGATGATGCTGGTGGAAATGATGCTGTGAGATGTGAGATGAGAATGGTGGTGATGGAATGAAAGTGAGGTTGAGATATGAAAGGTGTGAGGAGAGGCAGGGGTGTGCGTGTCCGAGCGTCTGGTTCAGGGGGTGTTACAGGTGTCAAGCCAACTCTTCATGCGGCTTCGGCGGTGCGACATGCAGCGTGTGTAATGGCACAGGTTCCCTGAGATTGCAGATTGACTGAGGTTGGAAAAGACACAGACGAGAGAGGAGTTGGTTGCTGATTCTATTCCAGGCATTCGGTTCACTGTGTTAGAAGCAGGTGGCCCCACTAAAACCTGACCCTTATAGCGGACCCTGGGGCCGTCTTTGACAGTTGAACAACCGTTGGTCCTTCCACCACACTTCTAGACTTCAAACCAACGGTAGTTCCCGTTCAGGGACAAGCCCAATCACCTGATGTAAATCGAGAAGACGGAAAATAAATGAGAAAACTGACAGCTCACAGACATCTCGGCCGGCTGCGGTTACACACACAGAGCCGCTAGAGCGTTCCCGTGGTTAGCGAGAGACCCACAAGGCTGAATTTCATTAACGGCAGCCGACTTCATCTGGTCTCCCGTCACTCCAGCACCCACCAACAAAGAGACATCCCGCCCAAGCTTGAACAGCTTCTCGAGGAAATAACGTAATACGCAGGGAAGCTTGATTTCAAGCTGCTGAATCTAGACCTCACAAAGGACCTTTCGAAGCACCTCGGCACACAACACTACCTACTTATTCTCACATATCTGAATCACAAGTCGAGGTCAGCTGGCGACTAACCACCTCATTCTCATTCCCCATTCATTACGTCCAGAATGTCCGACCCCAGCGGAATTTCTCTCGACGGTGGCGACCATCACACCGAGCAAAATGACCCCCAACAAGATGACGAAAGTGCCGAAATGGCTAGATTGATGGGCTTCTCCTCCTTCACCACCACCGCTCGCACTCGCCGGCCCCGTCCCTCCTCCATCTCTGATGAACACCCACCAAGCAAGAGATCCCGGTCAGATGAAGGATCAGCACACCCCCAAGTGCCCGACGGCACCCACCCCGCACCATCCCCTAGGGGCGGTCCAACCCGAGCTTCCTGCTCGTCCATCATCGTCACGACCGATACTGATGTTGACATCTCACCATCCCCAACAGGCCAAGGGTCCGATCCTTTCATCAAGGGATTTCGAGGTTCAACGATAACAGCCGAGAGGGTCAATCACGACGAAGATCACCACGACGCAGCAGCAGCGGAGGAGGGCAGTCATAGTCCAAACCAGGGACAACGCCAAGAGTCAGGTTCCAACCCTACCACCCGGGGTAATTTTAATGCAAGAGGCAGAGGCAACTTTGGTGAGAGAGGAGGCCGAGGAGGGGCCGGAGGCGGCAGAGGTGGCGGTGGCCACAATCCAAACTGGTACATTGACTACTACGACTCCCGCTCCAACGAGAACCCCTGGGAGCCACTCGAGAAGAAGAATGGGTTGGAACCTGTGGGTACCTGGCTGGAAAGGAAGCCTTACCAGCCAGAGGGAGTTCCACAGCAGCAACAAGAACAACAAAGCCAAGAGCATCCAGACCAGCAGCAAACTACCCAATTGGAGATAATATAGATTGGTTCTGAATTAAAAGTGCCAGAGGTAGTGGCGGAAGCCAAAGCTGAGGTGTTCCTCGCTGCTGCCACCTGAAACGCAGCGTCTATTCTGTTTCAAGCATCTTTATCTTCTGGCGTGGGAAAAGTTTATAACGCAATGATTGACGACTTGAGTCTGTAACACTACAATTTGATAGTACATACCAGACCACATTTAATTCTTTGCTCTTCAACACATTGTCACCCCAAAGATAGCCAGTGGCATCACGTGATGCTTTCCCTTTGGTGTCCGAGGCATGTCTGTCCAAAACTGCATGCTTCCACCTGCCCAAGCGCTACATATCTGGTTGGGCACCAAGCCATGACCTTAGTAAGATGCTCGACCCAGTTCGAAACAAAACAAGTGCTAGTGTCTACATGACAGAGCTGGGCGAGACAGAAATCAGGACATATGTTCATCAACCCTAGGCAACCTTCACCTGACCACCAGTCACGAGATTTCACGGGTAACCAAAAACGAAAGGTATCATTACGACCTAACCAGCTAGAAAAGAAACTACATGGAAAAAACTCTCGTTACTCACAGACCTTGTTTTCGACCCACAGACAAGTTCAGCTGCCGTCCCCTCCATCATCACCCCGTCTTATAAACGCTGCCCTAAAACGACAAAACGGAGAAGACCCATGACTATCTCTCCCCACCAGTCTCCTCAGCTGAGCCCCCAGTCCACGTGGAAAAACCTGCCCGGCTACTCCCAGAAGCAAGGCACGGAGCATCCATCTGCCGGGTCCAACGAACAGAACCCCCTGGTCCTCACGCCTGATCTCATCCACACCTCCCTCTGGGCACAGCACAGCACAGCACAGCACATCCGCCTGCTCCCGCCATGCCGCTCTGACGTGCAGTACTCTAGAGGAGGGGGGTGTGAGCAGCAAAACCCATCAATTCTTCCCACCCCAAACTCTCTTGCCATCCCCAGTCCCAGTGAGATCTCCCCTGTCAACATCCACAGCCCATATTTCTCCCCCCGCCAATCACCACCCCCACTACCTCCCAGTCGGGAAATTCCAGGGGAAAAAGAATGGTGGGTGGGCGCGGCCCGTAGCGGCGGCGTGATGGAGGGGGCGTGAAACCAAACTCAACCCAGAAAAAAAAAAACGAAAAAAAAAAACGCCCGCCATCCCCATCCGCGCATATGCAACAAAAATGCAGAATCATCGACACACCACACCCCCCCCCTGTCAATCCCAGCCCTATAACCTCCACTCGCTGCTTTTACAAAACAGAGATCAGTGGAGTGTGTGTTGCCGCGCGCCTTGCCATTATCAACCTCACTCCTTCCCCAAGGCTGTGATTTTCCTCCAGCCTTCTGCCCTCACCTGTGAAAAAAAAAAAAAATTTGGATATCCCATCGAAATTGCTGTACCCACCAAAATGAAAAATAACGAACAAGACAAATTTTTTGGACAAGGTTGAGAAAATGAAAAAAAAAAAAAAAAAAAAAAAAAAGGGGGGGAGGGTTCAGTAATCTGGGCTTGGGTACCGAGCGCGAGCTTTGGTGTACTCTTTTGTGTGCTTCTTTGACGCTTTTGTCTTGAGCGACCTATTCTCCATTATTAGCCCCTGTTCTCTCAGAAAACAACCAGTCCCCAGATTTGCCTCCTGCTGCTCGTCCGCCAAATTTGGGATCTCGCGGTTTTTAGGGGTTCGAAGCCAGATAGCCAAAAATTCCCATGCTTGAAATGCTGAAGGGGAGGAAAACAAAAAAGAAAAAAAAAAAAAGGGGGAGGGGGCAAAAAACTCACGCAACCTTCCTCTGAGTCCACTCCAAATCCTCCCTCACCTCCCTCGCATCCTCCATCCCCTGCGCGAACCTCGCCCTCGTCTTTGCCAGCCTCGCCTGCGCTTTGGCCTGCAACTCGAGCAGTTCCCTGTGTTTGGCGTTCAAATGACCAGAACTGTTTTAACTCTGTCAGCTTTTCTCTTCCTCTCTCCAAAATCAAAAGGGAAAAACTCACGCCTTTGCCTGCCTCACAGTACACCCATCCATCACCCCCCCGACCGAATCCATCACCCCCCCGCTGAACCTCTCAGCCATGTACTCGTTCAAATCCACATTCGCCACATTTCCCGCCGCAACATCCCCCCCAACCCCAGACCCACCACCATAGTAGTAGTCTGACCCCGAGGAGACCGACCCCGACGGACCGATAGAGTAGCTACCACCACCAGTGCTCACCAAACTGTGCCCATCATCTGTGAGCTCAGGGGGCGAGACGGAGTACGTCCCTGTCTCCTCGGCGGGTGGGTAGTATGGAGAGTAGGGGGATTGGTAGGCTGACTTGGTGGGCGGGATGGGGATGGAGGTTGTGGTGGGGTAGTAAGGGGTTGAATAGTGGGACATTTTGATATGGCAAAGTTTGGTGATGATGGGAAGATTGTAGTGGTGGCGGTGGTGGGGAGAATAAGAAAAGGGTAAAAATGTGTAACCGTTGGGTTTGGGGAAAAATAAATAAACTTTCTGCCCAAGGTAACTAGGGTGAAATGTTTGTGTATGTGTGTGTATGTGTGTGTATGTGTGTGGCGGAAAGGGTTGTGAATAGATAGAATGGTTGGATGGACAAGACCAAGAGTAAGGTGTCACTTGTGAAAGTCTCTCCTCTTGGGTAAAGTGTAGTAAAGTAATTGTGTGTGTGTGCGTGTGTGTGTGTGAAAGCAAGCAGACAGAGCTGTAGCGCAGTATGGTAGGTATCAAGCCCAACTCAACTTGTTCTCGTTGTAAAGAATGGAAGAAAGAAAAGAGAAAGAAAAGAAATCTCTCCCATATCTGCCATCTCCCCCCCTTTTATACATTTTCCTCCTTCCTCCCCTCCCCCCCTCTCATCCAGTCGGCCGATAGCATGCCGATTTCATCACGAGGGAGAGAGAGAGGGGGACATGGATAAGGACGGACTCTATCCATCCCCGAGGAGGGCAACTCCTATTCGTTGAACCAAAAGCCTACACACTAACTCACTTGGCCAGAACAAACCAGGCAAGTAGATATGTGATGAGAAATAAGTATGGTGACGACGTTCAATTATCGGTATTGATCAAGAAAAAAACGTAAACCTCACCCCCCTCCTTCTCACACACCCTTGATATCAACCACTGACCAACAGGGCCGTATCAATGGATGGGGTGATCCCTGGAGGAAGAAACGAAAGCCACCAAACGCTAGAGGGACCTATAGGAAAGTTTCAATGTGATCACAGAAAGAAAAAGGAGCGAGTAAAAGCAACTCGCATATGCCGAGAGGTGGGACTATCAACCGTTTGTATTGGCTACAACGGGGGAGCCGGCACTCCGGTTGTAAGCCCAATGGCTCCGGGGAGGGCAATTGTGTGTTGTGTGTGGGAAGGAGGAGGCGAAAGAGATAGAGGCTTCAAGGTTTCAAGGGAGGATAAACTCCATCTCGAAAGAAAGCCGGCTGATGGAGGGGGGGTGTACATAGCCATGTAGACGACGACTAGTCCCGGCTGAGAGAGAGAGAGAGGCAAGAAACAGCAACATGGTTGGCATAGACTGACTCCCTGCTCGGGACAAGATCCTCTCTTCTGCAGATGACGGGACAGGGATGGGGTGTAGGAGATAGAAAGATTGGGGGGGGGGGATGGGAAACACCTGTGAGAGGTTAGTTTCGCCGCAAGTGGAGGTCAGAAAAGTGACGACGGTCTGGACGACAACGATGTGTGTGTCATCAGACACTACCAGACCGGCAGAGACAGACAGGCAGACGAAACGGTAGCTGCAGATAGGCTGGCTGATGGGAACAGGAGACAATATCCACGAACCAGGAAGCGGCGGGCCGGAAGATGGCGAAGGAGTGAAGTGGAGGCATGTGTGGAGGTATATGCACCGTTTGGATCCACGAACCAGGCAGGAATCAAGTTAAAAGCGGCGAAGGTTGCTCAAAGATACCTAGGCTGATAGCCCACCGTTTCGTTGGCTCGGACAAGTCGAAGAGGGGGGGGGGGGGAGGGGAATAAAGAAGCGGACGTCAAACAAATGTTGCAAAGTCGGGTTAGGCAGTGATGCATCAAGTCGGGCAATGTGTTGTCCAAATCCCAGAAGACAAAAAAGAACAAGACGAATGCCTGCTGCAGAGTGGCCTGCATCCTCTTACACCGTATGTTGGACTTGGCCTGTGCGCGACTGTCTAAGTTGTCTCCGGCCCCTTGCAAAGCTGGAGGGCATCTTTCCTGACATCGAGGATTCCAAAGAAGGAAAAAGGTGGAATAACGCCATTGGTCCAAGGCTGAAAAGGTAAATCCCTCTGCTGTCTCGGTGAAAGTCGGCGGATTGAGTGGCTACTCGACCTGCAAAGGTGGAGGTGCCGCCTCTGGACTGGTCCCCCCCCCCCCGTGGCAGTCAGCCATGAATCCAGAATGGCATGGCAGAATACTCCTTTTTTTTTTTTTGCCCACCCCCACAGCCTGCGTCTAGAAATGCAGGTTAATAAGCCCTGGCATAACCTTGACTTTCCGTGTTCCCATCCGCCTTCTGCTGCAAGGCTCTGTTTCTTTCTTTTCTTTTATCCACCTTATGATAGTCGACACCATATATGGGCCGAGCATATGTCGTGCCTCCCGGGATCCGCTTTACCGAAGGAAGGTTTTGGAATAAACCCCAGGCACAGGCACCCGCTGTCTAATTTTTTCCTTGCCTTTCCGGTTTTCGGTGCTCCGTTGTACGCAACCCAGGTACGGCAGTGATGTGATGTCGTTCCTTTTGCAGCTGCCATTGATATTGAAAGTGGCGAGTTCCCGAGACTTGCTTGCTGCTCTTCTCAGAGTTGAAGGGTCTCGAATATGTGCATATCCCGACTGGCAGGAGGGAAAGCGGTGAGCCGTACCGTGTCTCTGATGGCAGGTGTTGGACATCAAAACAGAAAATTGGAGTATAGGACACCCAGAGGAGTGAGTGGCCGGATGAAGGACCCGACTGATGGACCAGGCAAGTGGCCACTCGCTACCTCAAAGCCCCGGCTCGGTAGCAAGTCAGCAGCTGTTGTTATCCAGACATCATCCCACCCGACAGGCCAAGTCACTCGCAAATCCCCTAGACCGCTACACCTCTGGTTTGTCCAAGAAGCACCTAGGATAACGGCATATAGCAGCTGCCGGGTAGAAGGCCGGAAAGGAGCGGCATGACTTCCTCTCCATGCGAGACAAATAACGGCTTGCCGGCTGTTTCTTCTTCTTCGAGCCGACCCAATGGCCGAATTCTTGTGGGACAGAGCTTCAACCACTGACGAGAGCGTGAGAGCGAGAGAACCCGCCAGCCTGGGCCCGCTGTGGATGGGATGGATGGTTGGTGAGCTAATAACGAGTGCTGTTCCTGCAGGTCTGACTGGACGTCTCGAGGCTAGCCAGTTGGCGTTTTTCTCCATCTCCTCCAGTTGGAAAAACGGCCAGGCAGAACCACCAAATGCACGGGAGATATCGCCAAGTATTGAGTCAGAATGAGCCAGTCAACAGCCAGGCTGTGTAGGCGTTGGCTTTGAGGATCGGTAAAGAGGAACGAGGCCGGAGGTATTCTTCAACAGTTTCGAATGAAACGCCAATCCTCGATGCAGGAGCTCGGGAAAGACAGCAGCAGTAGCAGCATGTTATGCTGAGGAAGGGGGACAACGCATCAAGGGAGGAGACGTCCTGCCGCACGTCCGGCCGTGGGTGTGGTACCGCACCAATTCAATGGTCTTCTCGATCCACTGGGAATTGTTCGAGAAAATCCAGTGGGATTTAGCGGAGAGAATGTAACTCTCAGAGTAGGAAATTGGACCGGCATGCAGTCAAACGCAGACGTGCGTTGCGCCGGTGCCGAGCCCTTGATGACTGGGCACGATTTCATAGGACAGACGAAAAACCATGGCAGCCACAGTCGGATTCCCTTCTCCATCAGTCAGTCCCCTCTTTTCAGCAGCCGATAGACATGACATGGAAGTCCAAGAGGTGGCTCGTTCGTTCGTTCGGGAGTCATATCTTCAGAGTACCTTGAATATGCATGGAGAAAAAAAAAGGCTTGGCGCAACCAGGTGTTCGTGTCGAGCATGCGGCTAGGGCTTTTGTCAGAGAAGGATGGGCGAATCATCAAAAGTGGTTGATGCAATCGAAGGAACCGTTCGTGGGACAAACCACCTGCCGTGACAGCCTCTGGAGATTATCGAAAGGCGCAACACGAAGAGGAGAGAGACGGACGGAGGGCCCCCTTCTCTGAACATGATCCCCGCGTGTAAGCCGATGCAAGACATACAGTCAAGCTGCGTGGCAGCTGCAGAGCCAACAAAACCCATGCGCCTTCTCCAAATGCCCCCTCATTCCAAAGCATATATCATGGCATCATAAGTGCTCCCCCACCGCGGGGTTGATGTAGGGCCTGAATAGCTGTGCCATAGAGCGAGTGTACACTTTTCGATATTCGAATGTTCCGATGGAATCCATAGGTAGTAGGTAGAGAAATATGTATGTTGAATGAGATAAGAGATTCGAGGTGACGTCTACGTAGGTATCCTTTGGGGTCAATAAACCACCCAACCCCAAGCAACGCCGTCCATGCAATTTAATAAACATACACATCCAACCGGGCCGCATTCGCTGCCGCCGCCGGCCAGATTTCTTTTTTCTGTCGTCTTCTCGTGTTGAAACCCTGACAACCACGCCTCGCTTTAACCAAACACCTTGAGAAACCCCCAAATTCCGAGACCGCTGAGAACCGGGATGGTCAGATTATCGTCCCAGCCAAAGAGGTCAACCACCTCGCTAGCCGCAGCCACAAACCCAGACCACAGACTCATGACACCAAGCGCAAGCCCTCCAGAAATAGTCGCCTTCGCCGGGGCCAGGCCCACAGCATCCGCCAAGAGTTGAGGGAGACGGAGAGTTCCCGTAAACATAAAGTTCTCATCTCCCGGGAAGGGTCCCTTGGTCGGGGCGAGCCACCCCCAGAAGTACACAGCCGTCCCGACGCCGACAAGGAACGCAGCCGAAGAGCCAGCAAGGGACTTGCCGCGGCGGAGACGGGGGGTGTACCGCCCATACAGCCTGCCAAAGGTGCTTGCGGCCGTATCACACCAGCTCAGCAGCAGCGTGGCCATAACTCCGACATCCTTGGGGAAAAAGTACAGGGCCGTCCACGCACCCAAGAGGTAGAAGATAACACCGTTGTAACCGGAAAACTCGCTCTCGCGCATCAGGGCGCCCAGGACCTTGACATAAAACCGGTTGAATGGCTGGTAGTGATGGCGCACCACATCCACGGCGGCGATGGGTATCAAGGCACCCATGAGGTAGGGGCACACAGAATAAGTTTGTGTCCCCGAGAGGTAGAGCCATACGACGAAGAAGCCGATGGATACGTGCAGGGCCTTCCGGGGTACCTCGTGCTTGTGCACAAACGTCCTCCAGTGCCTGTGGATGGGAATCAGACCGAGTGGGCTGGGACTTCGGCTAAAGTCCCGCCAGCTCCATCCATAATAAAGTGATGGTGTGGGCGGGGAGAGGTGCCCGTTTGTTTCTGGTGCTTTTTCGCCCGTGCTCCCGTTGGGCGTTGCGATGGCTGTCGTCGTCGCCGCCGTCGCCGCGATCGGCTTGAGAGTGCTGGATGCCATCCTTGAAGTTTTCCTTGGGCTTAGTTGGGCCACCTTTCGCGTGTCGATCGGGCTGCGGCTTCGCGTCCGGGCCCTTGAGAGTTCTGGGCTCTCGTCCTCCTCGATATCCTCCTCTACTGGTAGTGGCGTCGCCAGCCTCCTCCTCGCCGCCGACCGAGTCATCGGCCCGCTGTATCCATCCTGGCCGGTTCCATCCTGCTCTGACGGCGTCGGACTCGGCGATATGACGCGCGGGGTAGATGGGATGGCTTGCTTTGTTCGGCCAGACATGTCGTAGGGAAATGGTGGTAGGGCTGGCAGTGCGACACAACCTTTGACGATGCGTGGGAGACGGGAGAGCTGCAGCGGCCAGAGGGAGGTGGGAAGGAAGCAGTCCTTTCTCGGGTCGTTGGGCGAGATAGGGGCGGGGGCTAGGGCATTAAAGACGGCCTGGTGGTATCGAAAGAAGGCTTGAACTTTTTCTGTGGAATCCAGTGTGGTGTTTGGGTTGATGCGGTGGAGTGTGAGTACTCCGCCGCATGGCTGGTGCGAAAGGGTCGAATCCCGGTGGTCCAGGGGGAGAGTCGAATCGGTGCGTTCTTGGATCCCGTTTCCCGTTGGGCAGTGCGGTGCGGCGGGCTTGGAGCGCGGTGCTGGGAGGAAGAGCGAAGAAATTTCGGCTGGTGCGGGAGGGAAGACGCAGCGGCCAGCGGGCTGACCGGGGTGCTTTGAGGCCTCAGCGTTGCATGTGACACTTGATTTAAGATGGGTTCAATGTCGCTCACTATTAGTGTCAGTGTCTGTGACTCTCTGACCCTCTTGTTGTCGATGGCAAATTTTGGCTTGATGTTCCTGAGAAGAGACAGGATAAATCCCCGTTTTGATACTTCGTACTCCTAAAAAAGAGTTGTTGCGAGGAGAGCTGTTTTTTGTGTGCTCAACGGTGCCTCACATCCAAGTCGCGGCCAGCTCCAGCGGCCCTCCACATTCTGCCAGTCCCGCCTACAAGGAATGACGTTACCGCCTGTAATTATGCACACAACAACTGATATTTTTTTACGAGTTCAGATGGCATCCCACCATGGGTCACCTGTCCCGTCCTCCGTCCCTCCAAATTCGCCCATTTCCCGGGCTGATTGCTTCACAATTGAAAAAGAAACTAAAAGCCACGTCGACATCAGAAACACGGCAAGCCTTGGCCCACCACTGACGACATCATCAACCAGAACCCCCAATGTCATTTTGCTCATGTGCTCACATATGGCCCGTGCTTTGAATCACAAGGGTGACCCGGTCTGCCAAGTCCAGCTGGGCTTATCGATAAGCTGATAAGCCCTCTGCTATCGAACTGATCCCCGACATTTTTTTTGGAGGCTTCAAGCGGCATGTCAATTGTGCGACAAGCAGACGAATAGAGGGGCTGTCCTTTTGTATTCAAATCCGACAATCGCAAGACCCTTCAGATGGCGCCAGTTCAACCACGCGTCAAAAAGACCCCCAGGACTTGGGATTCGTTGAACCAGAGTCTCCCTCCATGGATCCTCGACTATCTTCAGACGTCTGGCTTCGAGCAGCCGACGCCAGTGCAGAAGTCGACACTCGATCTTTTCAGGGGGAACAAGGATGTCGTCGTGGAAGCTGTCACCGGTAGTGGCAAGACGCTGGCTTATTTGATTCCAGTGGTCGAGGTACGGAAACCTACCATCGCAATTACCATTGATTCACTGTGTTGACATAAATGTGTCTAGAAACTCTTGCGCGGAGACGAAGCAGCCAAGAGGCACCATGTCCAAGGCATCATCATTGCGCCCACCCGCGAGCTGGCGCAACAGATCTACAACGTTTGCGTCAGCCTCATCAAGTTCCACCCTCAGTCGGCCGAGCAGCTGCAACATGACCGAGACGAGAAGCGAACCATCACATCCGAACCGGTCGTCTACCCCCAGCTTCTGGTGGGAGGAACGACAAAAGCGGCCGAAGACCTAAGCGCATTCCTGAGGTTATCACCAAACCTTCTCATCGGCACACCCGGCCGACTCGCCGAGCTCCTCGCCTCCCCTTATGTCAAGGCCCCCGCCTCCACCTTTGAAGTCCTCGTCATGGACGAAGCCGACCGTTTGCTGGACCTTGGTTTCTCCCAAGAACTCAACCGCATCCTCGGCTACCTCCCCAAGCAGCGCCGCACAGGCTTGTTCAGCGCCTCCCTCAGCGACGCCGTAGAGCGCCTCGTCACAGTCGGCTTACTATACCCCCACCGCATCACCGTCCGGGTACGAAACCTCAGAGACGGCGGCGAAATCCAAGAGCGCAAGACCCCAATGTCCCTCCAAATGTCGTACCTCATCACCCCCGCCAGTCAAAAAATCCCGGCGCTCTGCCAGATCCTCGAAAAACTCAACCCCCGCCCGGCACGATCCATCGTCTTTTTCTCTACCTGCTTCGCGGTAAAATACTTTGCCAAGGTCCTCCACGGCGTTCTCCCAGAAGGCTTCAGCATTGTCTCACTCCACGGCAAACTCGAGCCCCAAGTCCGCGAAAAGAACTTTGAGCGCTTCGTCAACTCGACCTCCCCATCCATCCTCTTGACCACCGACATCGCCGCCCGCGGTCTGGACATTCCACAAGTCGACTTGGTAGTCCAGCATGACCCACCGACAGACACAAAGGTGTTCATCCACCGCTGCGGCCGTGCCGGTCGCGCCGGACGTCGCGGTTTGGCGGTGGTGTTGCTCCAACCAGGTCGTGAGGAAGGTTATCTCCAACTGCTGGAAGTGAGACAAACGCCATGCACACCGTTGGAAAGACCCGAAATTGTTCTTTCTGAAGAGAAAGCCAAGGAGATCTCGACAAAAGTAAGGAAACAAGCCATCACGGACAGGGAAGTGTACCAGCTCGCTCAGAGGGCGTTTGTTTCGTGGGCGCGAAGCTACATTGAACACCAAGCCTCTTCCATCTTTCGCATTTCTGACCTGGACTGGGTGGACCTAGCCCACGGCTACGGGCTGGTTGAACTCCCCAAGATGCCGGAGATCAAGGGCAAAAACATTGACCGCTCCCTCGGCCTGGGCATAGACGTGGAAGCCATTCCGTTCAAGGACAAACTCCGCGAAGAGAAGAGATTGGAAGAACTGGAAAAATGGAAAAAGGAAAAGGCGGCTAGGGTGGCTAGCCAACAGGAAAATGGGGAGCGGGCGGGGCAAAAGAGGAAGACGAACGAGGCTTGGAGTGAGAAGCAGGATGCGGAGGAGCTAAAGGTGGCGAGGAGAGAAAAGAAGAGGAAGAGGAAAGAGGCGGAGAGGGCGAGCAAGATGACGGAACGGGAAAGGGAGGAGCACATGAAGCTGGAAGATATGATTGAGCTTGTGAGGAAACAGAATGAGGAGAAGGCTAGGCAAGAGGCGGAGGAGAGGAGGAAGGAGAGGGTGTTGGGGGGGGACGGGAAGACGTTTGGGGCTTTTGGGAAGGGTGGTGGTAGTGGTGGTGGGGTGATGACGAAAAAGAAGATGGTGGTGGGAGAGGAGGACAGTGATGAGGAGGAGTTTGGCGGGTTTGACGATTAACGGATGTAGTGTGTGTGGAAGGTGAAAGATATAGAAGAGATGATACCCCACGTATGTTCGTCTGAATATACACTTTTGGATTTCTCGTTAGGTTTCATGGAGGGACTGACTTAATTGTCTATTCGGAATTGCCCGGCCTTCGGGTCATGTACCCAGAGCAAATATTGTCCTCTCAACCGTTCCCAAGCCTTCAGGGGTAAAGGGGGCATTAGTCAACCACTTCCCTATCCAGCACCAACACTCACTTACGTACAACACCAAAGATCAACAAATCATCCAAAAAAAAAAAACCTCCACCATTCCCTCAAATCTCAACTATTATACACATCTAACCAACACTCCACCTAGGCACAGGAATAAGCGTCTTTGCTCTTTCTTTCTTTCTATTTGTCTCCCAGACAAAAAGTTGCTCTCTCCGATCTAATCGCTCTATAGTTCTCTTGAAAGCACACCACTTTTTTTTTAATCGCCCAAGACCAAAAAAAAAAAAAGACAATTCCCAAATCCCTGCCCATTTAGAGTATTATAGCCATACACACAACAAAAGAAAAGATATAGCGAAGAGGCGCTTCAAAATCCCGGAAATGCAAACAAAGACCGGGGAAATAAAAACACCTTTTCCCTCAAAGCGAGCAACATTTGTGCAAGATGCCGCGCAGTTTTTTCGTTGATGCCCCCGAAAGGCACCCTGCCTGTTGTTGGTCGTTTTTTTGGTTTGTGTCGCTGTCATTCAGGTCGTAACAACAGCAGCCGTCGAAATTTCTCTCCAACTTCCCCCCAAAATCTCCACCATCATAACCCCTCCAACCTCCCTGCTCCACAAAAGCGGGGATTAAGCCGCAGAGACGACATGTGGAAGTCTCTGTGGTTCCATCACCACTTTTGTTGGACTACATCGGCATTGACTATGTTAAGTCGCTTATTTGCCGATCTCGACACCGCCAGTGGCACCTGTTGCAGATAAAGTCAGCACTTGTTATCCAAATCGACCAGGAAAAGAAAACATACCAAGAGCCTTCTTGATGTCACCGTAGATGGCGAACTGGAAAGCGGTAAGGGTGCCGACCATGAAGAGACGGGCGCCGATGCCGGTGTAGGAGCCCTTGAGGCCGAGCTCCTTGGCGATCTTGATGAGGCGGGTGGTGGTGCCCTCCCCGGGGGCGCCGGGGGTCTTGTTGATCTTGCTCAACATGGTGTCGGCGGGCTGAGAGACGATGGCAGCGGCGAAACCGGCAACGAGACCGGAGCCGAGGTTGACAACAGTCTGCATGCTGTCGGCCATGTCCTTCTTGGGGAAGACCTGGTAGACAGCCTCGGCGACCTTCTCGTAGACAACGAACTTGGCCATGGTGTAGGGGATCCTAGAGAATTGTCAATTTCTGGGGTCCTATTCAGGAGAGGCCAAAAAAAAAACATACTGCTTGAACAGAATGGGACCGAAACCGGCGTAGAAGGCACCAACACCCTCGTTCTTGAGCATCTTGCCGAAGCCGCCGATGAGGCCGGAGGCATAGGTGGGCTGGGAGACGAGACGGATACGGGTGGCCTCAAGAGGGCAGAGGGCAATATCGGCGAAGAACTCGGCCATGGCGGAAGAGGCGAGGTAGACACCGGTGCGGTACTTGGAGGCGTTCTCGTAGCCGAGATAGTTGATGGCCTGCTGCTTGAACAGCTCGTAACCACCGAACTTGAGGGAGCCCTGGAGGAAGTAACCGGCGAAGGTAGGGCCGACACCAGTGAGGAGGGCACCAGCACCCTCATTCTTGATGACCTGCTTGAAGCCACCGATCATGCCCCTGTTGTAGGTAGCGGGGTCGAGCTGGATGCGAGTCTTGACACTGTAGAGGAGGCGGTTAGCTTTTCGATATTCCCTGGTGATCTCGTCGGCGCAAGGGTGCTGGGAGGACCTACACATCGACGGGGGTGAGGGCACCGTGGGTAACGGAGCAGCAGATGGCGCCGGCAAGGGCGAATCTGGAGTAGAGGGCAACGCCGCTCAGCTGGGGCTTGGTCTCGGTCTTGGTGGCCATCTTGACGACTTTGATGAGAAGTGGTGGAAGATTGAGTGGAGTTTGGTCCTGAAAGCTCGGGGGCGCGAGGAATCAAGAAAGATCGGGAGACAATTGGGGACCTGTGGGAGAGTTCCGACGTCGTTTGGGCAGTGGATGAGCTTTTTTGGAAAAAGTGAGGTCGGGGCGGGCTTTCGGGAAAAGGGACCTTAAAAAAACTGGCCCGGCAAATCCCGGGTACACGGCGGGCATCAAAAAGACGCACTGGCCAACCAACCGCTGTGGATTTTTGACTAAAAGGGCCACAGGGCCCACCGCTACTACAGCCCACGGTGACATTGATGTGTAAGAGATAAGATAACAAGATGCATCACTTGGAAAATGTCAAGCCCTGGAAAAAATGTCTCAGTCTCATGCTCATCTTCTGCCGGTATGTTTTTCCCAGTTCGAACCCATCACCATCAGTAGACCAAACAATACCAAGTTATTTTTGGACGCCCGGTCGTCAGTTGGTAGCACAATTCCATCCTGCGCTGTGTGCCGCCTGGGCACAACGGACCTGTCAGGGCAGTCCCTTGACGCATGTGCCTTGCTGACTCGATGAAAAGCCTTGAGCTCTGATTGGCTGCCCTATCCAATAGCTAGAACTTCTACACTCAACCCCTTGCCTTCCGCCTCAGCTCATCAGCCAACCTCAAGAGATAAAACTCTCTCGCCTCGGCCGGCAGCTTTTGAAAGCTATTCGCGATGCGACCGATGTCTTGCCTGCCCTTTTCATATGCCGCCAGATCACGGTTCCCATACACATCTTTACCGGCAGCATATGAGTTGCTGTCAAGATCTCTGAAAAACACATTGACCGCGATGCTCTTGTCCGAGGTTGGTGTAGCTGTGTGCAACCACAACGGGGGCAGGAAGAGGACCTGGCCAGGGCCCAGTACAGCCTCGTGAGGGTGTGTCTGTGCTAACTCCGGCGACTCAAGAGACGAAAATACGTCGATGCTAGAGCTGGAAGCACCGGGTGCAAACGACAAGTGCTCAACGTCTGAGGGTGGGAAGAGAATGAGTCTTTTGGAACCCCCTATTTGGCAGTATACATTTGCCATAACCTGATATGATTAACGCACCGTTTTACTGATATCAGAGAAACAACTTACATCGTAATGTAGCCACATATTCACTGGCCCAGACAGCCTCAACACCGAGCTAAACAAATTCTCCCGCACCAAAGCCAGCTGCTCCGGCAACACAAAGTCACCGCTTAAAGTCGGAAAGTCCTCCTCAAGCACCGACGGCTTCTCTGTGGGCTTCTCCTGTGAAAGTGCCCGCAGATACAGCCTGCCGCCTTGCTCAATCTTTTGTGCCAAGTCTGCGAATCCAGTTGTTACGTATCGGAAGTTCTTGGCATTGAAATCCATTACTTGAGTGGCGGCTTCGTGGATGACAACCTAGGATCGTTAGCTAACGCATATCATGTCGACAGTCATAGTGAGAAAATACCTTGCGGTCGCTGCCAACCTTTTCCGCCAAGTACTTCAGGTTCCAAGAGGCGACACAACTGCCCAGATCCAAGCCTTCCAGCACCACCGGACGGCCTGCCCGGACAACCTTGGCGAAGTCATCTGCTGTCTTGAGTTGAACATGCTCGATGGTCTTGATGGCTATGCTTGAGGTTCCGTTTTGGAGCTTGGTTCGGATGGGAAGACTCCGCTCTCCTGGGATGATGTCGACGGTCTTGTCGTGAGTCCAGTGAGGGAGAGCCCCAGTTGTGCCAGAGCCTGGTAAGCGCAGAGAATACACGCCCTTATTCCAGAAGGTGCCCATGGAGAAGCACGTAGCACCGCCCCCGGTAATCACTATTCTGCCGTCAGCTGCTACCACGGCTGAGTGTCCAGTGTAGAGGGCACGAGGCGACGCATTGGATGTCAAGCGGCGAGTAATCTTGTACTCTGCGCCTGTCACTGAGAAAGTTACGATCTCGTCGTTGTGGCCCAAGAGATGGTCTCGAGCCACTCCGCCCAAAATGATAAACTCGCTGCCGTGTTGAACGCAGGTTGCTCCGAACCTTGCTACCAGCCAGCTGGAAGCATCTGGGTTGGAATCCGTCCGAGGTTGTAAACGGGTGAATGTGATGAAAGGCTTCCTGATGTCTGAGATATCTAGCTCCCAAGACATCACCTCTTTTGTGAAGAGCGCATCCACCAGGCCACCGGCGTAGATACCGCTGAAACTGGCACCCGCATTGCTGCCCTTGACACCGATGACACCTCCATATCTTGCTGCGAAGGGGTCGCCTCTTGCATCACACTCAACCCACCCCTTTTCGTGCCGATACAGCAAACACCCGTCAGATGTCGAGCTTTTTCCTCTACCATTCATGAGCAAAGCCATTCCTGAGGTTCCGAGAGTGATAACGGCTGGCCGATAGAGCGGTACGGGGAGATCGTATGTCCGCCTCCAGGCATTCGACTTCTTCTCGTACAACCAGCAATCTTTGAGGGGGCTTGATGGTGAGCCGCGGCCTCCAACAAGCAAAACAGAGTCTCCGATATCCACAAGGGAGTGACACATCCTGCTTGAAGGCCCTCCCTCTCCAAATGCGAGTCCGCTTGCCTCGCCCTGAGTGAAAACGTCGCAGGATTGCAGTCTGTTCCTGGTCCCCAGTCCCAGAACGTTCACAATCTCCGATTGCTTCCCCTTTTGAGAAACTTCCATCGCGGCAGCAAACCTCCTTTGTCCTCGAGTGCCCGTCGTCTCATCAACCTGCGTCTCTACCGCTCCCACCGGAATCTCAACACCAGAATGCACGACCGGCCTAGCTCCCCTCTCCCCCACCGTCCTCGCCCTCACAACACAGTAATGACTTCCGAAAAGCGCAAACTCCTCCCACTCATCAAACTCCTCCACCTCATCCAACCTCACCCTCTCCTCCCCGGACAAGAACGTCTCGTCCCCCCAAGCTTCCCACAAAGTCCAGACCTTCACCTCCACCCACCCCCTCTCCTCAAACCTTTTGCGTTGCTCCCCAACCGTAGGATAACCCTCCACCGACTTCAACTGCGTATTCAACTTGTCAAAATGCCCCAACATCGTCCTCGCAAAAGGGTGCCCCGTCCCATCCGGGAGAATCTGCTCCAGCAACACAAACTCCGCATCCCCCACCCTGCCCGCCCACTCTATGACCCCATCCGCCCCCTCCCTCTCCATATAAGTAATACTAACCTCGGCAACAAAAACAAACTCACACTCCTCCCTCCAGTGCCCCCCCCCAAGCACCTCCCCCATAGCCTCTTCCAACCTTTTCAAATCCCGTAGATCAACCCCCACCATCGCATACCCCTCACTTATCCAACACCACCGGTCCCTTTCTCAGCACCCTCCTTTCCATCCACCACCACCCTTTCCCCTTCAGGAACCCTCCCCCCCGTCAAATAACCCCTCAAGGCCCCCTCCCCCATCACGACCCCCTTCTTCCGTTCCATCCACTCAAAAAAATCAACATCCACAAACTTGACCCCCCCACAATCACCCCCATACCGACTCCAACACTGCCAAGGCAAGACATCACTCCCCGCCCCCAAATTAACAACCACCTTTCTCTTCTTCCCCTCCCTTAGCGGTCTCTTTAAGAAGTCCCTCACCAAGACATCGATCACTCGTAGTCGTAACCAATACCCCCTGTTAATCAACGGAGCGCGCCGTTGACACTTGGAGACAAAGTACCGGAAGAAGGGCGGTTCACCGGCGTAGTAGATCTTTTCCACGGAGCGTTTGGATACGATGGAAGAGGAGTTTGTCTGTGGCTCAAAGGTTAGAAGGGAGGGAAAAAAAGAGGGGGGGGGGGGAGACGGACTCCCATGACTTGATCATCTTGGGCTTTGGCTGCGGGGGATTTGGTGTCGGATTTGGGTTTTTTTGGTTTGCCCATTTTGTCGGACTTGAGTTTTGTATAAAAGGGAAATGAATAAAAGTCGCAAAGTCACTCACAAGAGAGTGTGAAAGAAATATGCGAGTGAGTAAGTGTGTTGATTGGTGAGTCGAGTTGAACAAGATATGAGTCTGAGTTGCCATCTCAAAAGCGGAATTCAAAAAGTGAGAATTTCTACAGTGTTCTTTACTGTGCTTGGGCACTGTGCTTACAGTGCCGCCCCTGATCACAATGAAAACAATATATCAGACATGTTCCCTGTCCCAGATCCTAACGCCGCCCAATGCTCCCATCATGTACTTGCTTACCCATCCATCTCCTCTCCCAAAACATCAAACCACCACCCCCCTCTGCGACCACCCACCCCTCCCCTTCCACGCCCACAACACCAACCCACACGCAACCCAGACACTCCCCGCCATGGCCCAGAACGCGCTCGCATAGCACTCAACCCCATAACACAGATTGTCCCCCCCATCCTCTTCCCCAACAACCGACTGCCTCCTCGCCCCCTCCTGGTAAACAGCCGAATACACCAACCCCCACATCGTCGCCCCCAGCGCCGGAAACATGGCCACAATCCCCCAGTTCGTCGCAAAGTTCTCCACCCCCCAGATCACCGTGATGATGATGGGCGTCAGGCTAAACACGGCGCCGTACCCGGCCCCGACCAGCCCCGAAATCACCCAGAACCTCTCCCCGTGGCCTTGCACCCACCCCGCCGCCAACCCCGCCAGCCCCAGAGAAAGCATCACGGCAAAAAACAGCAAAAACACCACCCTCGAAACCGAGAATCTTTTTCTCTCAAGTTCAGTGCTGGAGGCAATCTGGACATGTCCCGCCTGCGGACTCGGCGCGAGCAAATCCGTCAACGTCCCCGTCAGCAGCCTGACAATCGTGCTCGTGATCCCAACAATGCTCACATGGGTCGCCGCAGACGTCTCATGCTCCCCAGCACCACCACCAACCCTCAATTCCGGATCATACAACGTCTTGATCACGGTCCCCATATTATTGATAAACGCCTCCCCCGGTCCAATCATGAAGAAGAAGCCAAACGCAAACAACCACATGGTATGGTCCGTCAAAAACCTCCTCGTCTCCGCATTCAACACCCAAGTCTTGATCTTTTTATCCTCTTCCTGCTCTTTTCTCGGATCCAAAATCCCGGCCCCAATCATGTCCTCCTCTTCTCGCTCCTCATCAACATCCACACCCCCGTACCCCTCCCTCGTAACCCCATTCCCCAACATCCGACTCCCATCCAAGATCCCACTCCTCTCTAGCTCTTCCACCGCCTCCTCGATCAACTCCTGCTCATCCACTATCCTCAACCCCACCGCCCCAACCACCCCCACGATCACCAACAATATAGCCAAAAACCCAAAGAACCTGACAACATCAACCTTTTTCCCTCCCAAATCCCCGGGTGTGTCCAAAGAAAAAAGCCTATCCCCCACCTGACTCAACCACATGCCACTTAACCCAAACGCCGCAATCGGCACCGCCAACGCCAACCCCCTGTGCCTCCCCCTCCCAAAATTCTTTGCGCACGTCGCCACAGCACTGAGGTACATGCTACACGTGCCAACCCCTATCCCGACAAAACTCCCCACCAAGCCCCAGTACACCCCCTCCGGATCCCCCTGTTGTCCCCAGTAAAAGAACAGTGCCGCGCCTGCGTAACCGAGGCCGAAGAAGACTGCGGAGAGGAGGGAGAGGGGGGCGGGGCCGACGCGGTCGCAGTAGTAGCCCAGGAGGGAGACGGGCATGTACATTGCGATGGAGGCGGCCGAGGCGAGGCCGTTGATGCGGTATTGGGAGTAGTGGAGGGTTGATTGGAAGGTGGGGGCGTAGAGGGAGAAGATTGTGATCGAGCCGGCTGAGAGGGAGGAGAGGAGGGAGGAGAGGAAGGAGAGGAGGAGGGCGCGGCGGGTGGCGGTTGGTCTGGGACGGCGGCGGTAGCGGGAGGACGGGAGGGAGCGGAGGGAGGTGGTGTCGGAGCTGGCGGGGCCGAGGGTGGAGGTGGAGGGGATGCGGTGGAGGAGGGGGGTGGTGGTTGAGGACATGGTGATGGTGGTTGCGGGAGGTCAGAAATCGAGAAGGATGTTGGAACAGGCACACGCAGGCGGATATACCTACCCGCCAGAGAACTAGATCGCGTGTACCGTCTTTCTTGCCTGGCGCATCTTCATCCACGTCACCGCGCGCGCGAGACTGCGAAGAAAGAGTGAGACGAATTGCTAATGGTGCAAGGATGTAAATAAAAGTCTCCGAGGTTTCTGTGGAACGATTGTGTCAACCGCCAGACAAAAGTGTCAAAACCGTTGCACGACAGCGGTGATGGAGGTGTGTTGTGTGCGTACTGTGTTGTCTTGGAATGGGTTGACGGTTCCCAGGTTGTTGATCAAATGACCTTCAAACCGCTGGTAGCCTGCGCCGCGAATGCCAAGGAATGATCGGCATAAAAAAATCCGGGGAAATCCGATAATTGCCCGGGGGGGGATGGCTACGGGGACTGTGCTGGACAGGATAAGAGGGAGGACTGTGCATTTAGACATTAACCATGAGTTGACGAGAGATTCAATCATGTTAATTCTCTTCTTATGATGAGCTTCGCAGTGAGGGAGTCTCGCTGATGGTCCAGAGCAGTGGCCCAGCAGCTGCCCATCAGGGTTCTCACCCAGAGCAACACCATCACACGACTCCCACACAAGCAGGCAAAGGAGCAACCCCAGTACATACACCTCTCCCACCGCTCAGAATTCAACAGGAGCAGCGGGCAAATCACAGAGCCAAATGGCCTAGTGGTAAGCTCCTCGAATATCCCGAAGGGATATTCACCTTCTTCCACTTTGGTGTGGGTCGAGGCGGTTGACCGGTGAGCTTTTGCTCTTTTTTGCGACTTTCTTTTCTTGTCAACTTTTGTTTTGGCATTGGACTTATTGTTTTTGTTATGGCCATTGGGGAACGACCAGTTCGATGTTGTATATATGCTACTGGAAGAGATGTTAAAGACAGATAGACAGATGAACTTGGCTACCAGATTGAACTGGATTTATTCAGCACTTACGTTTTGGGTAACTCGTACAGGTAATGCTTTTTGCTACAATACTTTTAGGGGCTGTGTAGCTGTTGGTAAAGCTTTTCTATCCCGTGAAGCATACTCGCTAACACTTGAATGTCACCAACGGCTCGACGACCCTTGTTGACGTCGTCTCGATTAGTGATGAATTGCAACCGGCCAACTCTTTCACGATGCATTCGTATTTGCGGTAGCCCAATAGTCCGTGGTCTTGATGCCATCGAATGAGCGGCTATGCCAGCGCTTGGAAATTGCATGCCTGGTCACAAAGCTCACCGTCAGCATCAAGACCCAGCTAAACCAGATGGCTATCCACTCCTTCAATGGCGCTGTTGCAGTGTTGAGATTCCTACACGGTACCCGGACCAATCTGCCTCGAAGCCACCAAGGCGGTTTTGCTGACTGGCAGCCCGATGAGCCCGATAATAGTTCTATTAGCCCACACAGCCTTGGTATAAAAAGTTGAAAAAATGATCGTCGGGAAATGCCAAGTGGAAGGATTTCTGGAAACAAAAAGATGCCAGTTGCCACATGATCAGCCACGTGCGGGCCTCCTCATATGGAAGGTTGAGGTTGTTATTCCCGGGTGACGGTTGAGGGACCTGGGCTTATTCCATGGCATGCTTTTGCCCCTTGCTTATTCGAGCTCGGAGTTCGCATTGTTCTTGGCTCTACCTCATGTGATACTGAAAATGATGGCCAACCCCTCGACAGGCCTAACAATTGCGGCGTTGCCAAGGCGCATGTTCCTGAAGATGGACGAGGCATTCTTTTGACCATGATGGCTTCGGAAGGAACGCTAGACAGTAGAACTAGACACAACATGCTGTCATGCTGTGTTACATTCCATGTGTCATACCAGACCTGTTGTCCGAGCGGTGTCCGCCCCAGTTGGCAGTCAAAATCACCGAGTGACATTATCCAGCGCAACCTCATCCGTTGGTGGTGAACAAAACACGGCCGTCGTCGGAATTCGGCACTTCGTAAAAGCAGAGAGCTTTGCACAGCCACCGATCCAATTTTTGCTGCCCTTCAACTCAATCGTTGCGGGAGTGCGGTTGACTGTAGAACTGCGTCATGACCTCTGTATCTGGAAGTGGTGTGCTGTGCAAACCACACCCCAAGACCTTGGCAATCCATTGATGCTGGCCAGCCGATCGTCTCTTGCACTGTGTGTGTGTGTGTGTGTGTGTGTAGCTCATCAGGCCATGAGGTTTTTAAAATCTGCGACCTTGAATCGGGATAGAAGCCAGTTTGGGCGTGAGAGAATTATGGAACAGAGCCTCTCCGAGAGCAGCACTGTCTGCTCGTATCTTTCGTGTGTAGGAATTCGGACATCTTGTGGCTTGTAAAAAGTGCTGTTGGGTCGGGCGTAGGCTCGCTGGGCACGGCCCGGTGTTTAACGGATGGCAGCCTGGTGGGGCGATCCCCAGACCCACAGTGGGCCATCGCCCATTGCCATTGCATGGACCCACCATATCCCTGCCGCCATCGAGAGCTCTCTGCCCCGCCAAAGCTGCTCTTCAGTCTCCTGACCATCCGCCATCCCCCGAGCTGTTCCTTCGTCTCGGGACGTATAAGACTTGTGGCACATCCTCCGTTTCCCGTCTAGCCAGATCGACATTCTAGAAAGTCTAACCATCTGACGCCTTCCCGAAATTCATCGCCATCCCCCAACATGTCCAGCGACACTCAGAGCATCCCCAAGGGCAAGGGCTCAGAGACACTCAATGGCGGTTTCAAGCCTCAAGGCAACATGGTAGCTGTGGTTCCTCCCAAGCCTGAGGATTTGCAGAGAAGCTATGCCACGGTCGTCGACGCAAATGCTAACCCCAAGGGCTGGTATGGCAGCATGGGTATGTACTTGATGATACAGCAACACAAACTTCGGGAGCTTCACCGCAGCTAACACCACTCAACCCTCTAGTTAACGGCATCGGTACTCTCATCGGCACCCTCGGTGCAGTCCCATGCTGCGTCTGCTGCCCCAACCCATATAAATCCGTCGGCCAAGGCCACGTCGGTCTCGTCACCAAGTTCGGCAAGTTCTACAAGGCTGTCGACCCCGGTCTCGTCAAAGTCAACCCCTTGTCCGAGAACCTCATCCAAGTCGACGTCAAGATCCAGATCGTCGAAGTCCCCAAGCAAGTCTGCATGACCAAAGACAACGTCAGTGTCCACCTCACCTCGGTCATCTACTACCACATCGTAGCCCCCCACAAGGCCGCCTTCGGCATCACCAACGTCCGCCAAGCCCTCATCGAGCGCACCCAAACCACCCTCCGCCACGTCGTCGGCGCCCGCGTCCTCCAAGACGTCATCGAGCGCCGCGAGGAACTCGCCCAGTCCATCGGAGAAATCATCGAAGACGTCGCCGCCGGCTGGGGTGTCCAGGTGGAGAGCATGCTCATTAAGGACATCATCTTCAGCAACGAACTCCAGGAATCTCTTTCCATGGCCGCCCAGTCCAAGAGGATCGGTGAAAGCAAGATCATTGCCGCCAAGGCAGAGGTCGAGGCTGCCAAGCTGATGAGGCAGGCGGCTGATATCTTGTCTTCCGCCCCTGCCATGCAGATTCGCTACCTGGAGGCGATGCAGGCCATGGCCAAGAGTGCGAACAGCAAGGTTATTTTCTTGCCTGCTGTTAATCAGACTATGCCGAGCACCCAACAATTCGAGAATTCGCTGGCTGGGGGGTCGGGAAACAAGAACTACAACACTTTTGACGAGGGGAGCAGCAGCACTGATCCCGGCTTTCAGCAGGCGATTAATGCCCGGATTATTGAGAATATCTGAGTCGAATGGTTGATGACGGAGATTTCTGAAGACCAAATCATGAAAATGAGCGGGAAAAGAAAAAAACACACACGAAAAAAGAGACGAAACGATACAACATTATGATTTTACTATACCCCGCCGCCGCGATCACAGTCGATACCCCCTTTTTTTTGTACATGGATCGGAATGGGTGGAAGGAAGTGAGTCATGGATTGGCATGATGACAATGGTTTAATGAGGGGGGTTATGAGAAGAGAGAGCGTCCCAGCGAGAGAGATGCCATCTTGGCAGTTTGCGTCTTGGTTTTTTGGATTGGTAGTTGCTAGGACTTTTTGGTTCATGATACCTGATACCACCTTCGCTTTCTTACTTGGTTCTTCTATAGCACTGTTGCAGTTGATTTTAGCCTTTGTGGTGAATGGGAGGGGATTATATTTTTGTTGTTGTGATATTTGATGGTAAACTGCGAAGTGGGAATATCGCCGCCGGATCTTTGGTGTAAGTCTGGCTGGCAGGTGTTTCCACTCAGTGCTGTCGCGCTTGAGCACCGGCCCAATTGTGCCTATGTGGTCTGGGTCTTGCAGTTGACCTCACCGGCGCGTTGGGCTGGCTTGTATTACCGTCAGAATTAAGTGTCCGCTTCTGTTTTTTAGGTTGGACTTTGGCCAATGCTACAAGGTCGAGATATCATCAGGGGACCTGATTGTGAATGAATATGGGTCACAAAGATTCTGGTGCCTCAACAGCTTGGTCGAGATGGGTGCATGTATGATGTAAACGGCGTCTTCCCATGGGTTCCATTAATGGATACCTAGTTTGAGACTCGAGGATAGGGACGTGGAGCAAACCACAGCTGCTTTGTTCTTTGGAAGACCGAGACTATCAGCACCCTTGGCTTCCGTAGGTGTGAATTATTTCTGTGATTGATCACTGGGTTGCCTTTCTCCCAGGTCCCATTCACGGGGCTCTCTCTCACACCAAGAGGGAGTGGTCACGGAGAGTTATCGCTTGATAAATGACATGATTCACCCAATATACCCCGCTGCCATCGTGGTCATTTTCATCTCTCTGCTGTGATTCTAGTAGTATATCTCCTTCTCCCCCGTTGCCAGCACATCCTCATATCTCATTCAATTCTGCTTGTTGGCACCTTATTCACTGACAAGAGAGTCTCTCATTGGCTTTATACTGACTTGTTTCAAGCACATAACTATTCACTTACCATGTCTTTCGCTGAAGCGCCGACGAAGCTGAAGAGATAAAAGGGCGAAGTTCAGACATCAGATGAAATTATTTGACAGCCATTCACCGCCAAAACTGACCAGGAAGCGGAGCAAGTGTTGATCACGCCCCAGGATACGTACTGTACGCTGCTCTCGTGATATATTCACTGTTCACTCCGTTCACCTGATTCGTCTGATCTGGGTGTCGAGAGCAAGCAGCGACTAAAGCGGATCTCTCTTCAGGGTGAATCACAGGATCCTCGAGTATTTATTCTCTCCTCCTTTCCCTTCTTCTGCCGTCTCTCTTTCAACCACAACAACAACTCAGTCCGCACAGCTCTGGTCTGCTTTCACTGCCACCAAACCTCTCCTCACAACCCTCTCTCTTCTCCATCCCACCAATGCACCTGAAGTTCCCAATCCTACGCTATTTGGTCCACGACCTAATCATCATGATCAACTTCCTCCTCACCCTGGTCCTCCTGACCACAGTCATGGCCATCAACATCGGCCACCTCCTGACCATCCCCCGCATCAGCCATACCCCCCGCGCCGTGGACAACACCACCGATGTCAACAACGCCAACATCGACAAATTCCTCTTCCACCCCCGCCCCGTCCAATGCGGCGAAGCCAACCTCCTCCTGGTCGGCATCCCCCCTTACCACCCCATCGTCAAAGCCGGCGGATTCGACCCCAAAATGATCGAAGCCATCCTCGCAAACGACACCAATCTCCTCGTCAACTCCGGCTACAACATCCGTATGGTCCTCTTTGGTCCCGAGCAGCCCCTTTCCGTGCTGGAGGCGCAATTCGCGGATATTGACTGCTGGGATGGCACCGGAGTTGGCTTCGGGGAGCGCGGGACTACGGATGTGGGTCTGACAGAGAGGTTCGAGGATACCATTCACTACTTCCGCAAGAGAGCTCCCAACGGGCCGATCATGTTTAATTCTTCGCCTACGACGTTTTTGCCGACGCTCAAGAGACACTTCCCTATTGCGGGGGGAGCGGATTGTGCCAAGGAGGGGAAGCCGGGGAAGCTTTTGGTGAGTTGGACGGGAGTTGATGATGATTTGTGAGAAGAGCGAAGATATACTGAATGTGTTTGTGATAGGGTTTCCGTGTCATCTGCGATGATGGCGTGTGCAAGAAGGACTAAGACGAGTCACTGGCACACATCAACAGCAGCAACTCGTTTTGCATGATCAAACTTTGCGCCATTGCAAGGGATGGTCGAGGTATCCATGGGTAACCTAGGGCATCAATACGGAGAACAGAGGGTGGTAGATGTGGGACCGAGGAAGGAGGACGGGTTGCTTGGGCTGAGGAGGGAAGGATAGCCGGAGTTGGCGCTAGAGAATGATACCCCTGCTTTTTCTCGTCACTTCTTTTGTTTTTTTGTTGCTATTTCCTGGCTTTTGATGTTTTTACTTTCTCCATTTCATTCTGTGCGTTTTGGATAACATTGCTTTCTCAGCTAGATTGACGTCATTGGATATGAGACGCCGGAGGTGAGCCGGGACTGTCGGACCGGTGCCGGTCCCAGCCGGAGGTTGTTGATATTGTTTCTCCGGCATCTCGTTTTCCTTCCGCTGAGTACACACCTCCTCGTTCCTTTACCTCTGAACCGCACAGGCACCTCGGCCTCACTCAAGAAAAACGCAATCCACAACCGGCCTTACCGAGGAGGTCAATCTTCGCTACCTACTTTACCGATACAGTTTCCATCCTCAACACAACCTCAATCTCGGACACCCTCCCCCTACGCCGCACGCCAATCTCCCTCTCTCCGAAAAACCAAGATCTCCTACTCGCAAGCCACGTGGCTTGCTCTGTCCGATCTGTCAGGTAAGCGACCCCCTTCCTCTCTCTCTCTCTCTCACTCAAGTTGACTTCTTATAGAACATGCGAATTCCTTACGCTCGCACATGGATTCACTTCTCAAACAAACATCCCAAGATTACCCCACACAAAAGATCCTGCGGGATGTCCGATAGCACAAGTTCCGGGCCCTGCAATACACGACACCAGTGGTCAGCGGCACAGTCCGCAGTTTTCCTAGTGACCACGTTTATATTTTTTATTTTTTATGTTTTATTTTTTATTTTTTTTATTCTTTATTTTTTATTTTTTTTGACCTGGCCTCCGTTGCTACCCGCCGCTGCTGCGACTGTTGCCACGCGGTTGGCGGGAATGAATAGTGTTTTGTCGTCTTGATTGTGCATATGTGGTGTTAGACTGAGATCTGTTGCCCAGGATGAACAGCTGGGCACCAGCTTTAGTGTTCACATGAGTTTGCACACTCTTGGAGATACCACCAAAGTAGTTGGAGAAATCGAAGTGTGAAAGCAGCGGTATATCATATTCCCTAGGTACTGACTGTCAAACAATTCAACTCCTTATGCAAAGCCCCTATGCCCAATCGATCCCCCTTCACAAGACGTCAACCTCAAATATCCAAAACGCCATCCTCAACAGAAGCAAGGTCTATCCATCCATCTCTTGTATTCAACTTCCACATCCCATCAAACGAAAGAACAACCCAGTAAACGAACGTATACTCCAACCTGAAGAAGAAGAAGAAGAAGAAGAAAAAAAAAAACGGGGTATCAAGAGAATGCCAGAAGGAGACCAAAAAACAGCCTCATCCTTCAACCTATCCCAACTCCCATTACCCTTCACCCAAAAACTCAGACCTAAAACTCCCGCGCTTTCACCGGCTCCCGCCCATACAAACTCAACCGATCATCATCATCCTCTTCCCATCTCCCCCCCATAGCCCGTAAATGACTCCGATCAGGCACCTCCACCCTCGCCCCCGTCCCCGTTTCCTCCACCCCCTCACCAACCCCCTCCACCACCTTCTTCCCATTCCTCAACTCCCAACTCCCCACCCTCTCCTTCTTCTGCCCCCGTCCGACGTACTCCACATCCTGATCCCCACCCTTCCTATCCCCCTTGAACCCCCCCTTCAACAGAGGTGCTGCGGAAACGCCAAAGTACAACAGATCGGCAAGGGAGATGCTGAAGTACCCGCCCCCACAGGAGATTCAAGTCACAAAGAAAAGCACCACTCTGAAAATTAACACCTTTTAGGGGGAAATTTCGAAGCGCCAAGGACTAACAAAGTCGCACCAAGGGA